CTCCAAGCGGTGCCGCTGCGGTTAGATAAGGGTGAACGCGTGCATGGCGGTGCGGTCGGACCGCTGTTCTTGACTGAAAGTGATGCCAAAAACTCCAGCGTGTGCATTATTTCGAAGGTCTAGACGCCCAAACCATCTAGCAGTGTCGCCCGGCGGACGACAGCAGTGAAGCCAAAGTGTCGTATCTTTTCTCCAGCAAGAGAAACCTCGCACTCTCTCTTCTCAGTACACAGCTCCCAACGCTGTACAAACAAGGCGCGGAACGGTATAGGAAAGGAGGAGGGGTAGGGTGGATATGGTATGAGTGATGAGGAATGAGTGGAAGTTGGGTCTTGAGCCAAAATGGTTACGACCCATGCTCGTGACCTTCAAGCTCAGGGAGTCTAGCAGGGGCATCGGCCTTGAAAACCACCGGCCTCTAGACTCAAATCACACAGTACCCCGACAAACAGTGAGCTTGATAGGTCGCGAAGGCACCGTGGCTCTCCTCCGAGCCAATGGGTCGCACCATCTTGGAGAAAGGGAGTGGGCACTCTAGTGCCATTCATGTAAATACTGCTGCTGCCGTCGTGCCGCAGCGAGTCCTGACGACCTCGCTCCGGCCTGGCTGGTCACTGATATCTCGCTCGGCCCTGACGACCCTCGAGAGACGTGCACCGGCCATGTCCCGCCAGACCGTGACGACTGTCACTCGGCATGGGACGGCTGAACAGCACTGGCCTTGCCATCGTTCTCCTGCTGCTGGAGTTGCCTCTGGGATTCGGCTCTGGAGCGGCCTTTCCTACGGGGATCCTCGCGCCGGCCCTCGAGGGCCCCGCTTTCCGCAGAGAGACGCAAACACCCGGAGCGAAGCAGCTCATATTGAGCCGCGTTGGTTTTGGCAAGATCCGATTTCGTCATGCAATCGACCGGAAGTAACGGGTGCGGCACCCAACGAATCACGCTCCCGACCTTCTGCATGATATCCCGAACGACCGCGAGGTCGATCGCGGCCCGACGATCGGATCGAGAACCATTTGATAGCTTGCTGAGGGTGTCATATATTCCCTGGGCGTCGACTATGCTGACACACTCCGAGGGCGAGTGAGCGATCAGCTGGCAGTCTTCCTTCAAAATGGCCGCAAAGGGGCCGACTTTCCCCTGCCAGGCTTCTGACACCACGTTCCCTCTCACAACATCTTCGAACATGAGATGAAGCCACTGAGCTTCAGCAAGAGCTCCGGAAAGCGCCAGCGTCTCTCCTGCGAGAGTGCTCGCCACCTGGCGCTTGACTCGGCATGATCTCCAGGCTAGGGGGGTGGCCCTCGCACGTTGACCGTGCGCTAGAGCATTGTCTGCCAAATAGACCTGCCATGCTTGTTGTGGGAACATGCAGTCATCCGAGCCGACTCCTCCGCAGTCGCTGGCCGTCGCGAAAATGCAGCGGGAGGGGTCGAACTTGTGAATTATCACGGGCATGCTGGCCGTGGACCTAAGGTGATCCACCATCTTATGTGCCTCGACCAGGTCTCTGACGCATGGTGAGTTCACCTTGGTCGCTAGAATAGACGCACAGCCGGCAGCCTCAGCACGGGATTCCCGTCCAACCCAGTTCAGTTTGTAAACCAGGCTTCGGAACTCCGCCACCTCTGTCCCAACCAGGGGACTGGAGTGATCCCCACGACGCCCCCTTGACAGCGGTATCTTGCGGACCTGCTCGAGAATGTATTTTTCCTGGTCCACAAGAATACGCGGTGTGGCGGTACCGTGTCCCACGAGTCGAAGCCTTCGACCGATATACTCAACTCCGGCCTCGTCGAGTTTCTCCATTTTTCCGAACGTGAAACGCTTCTTAAACTCGGTCAAATACTTGTTCTGTTGACCCGGAGGGAAAGCGATAGCCCAGTCGTCAACCTCCAGCAGCACCTGCGCGACTAGGCGACCATTCTCCTTCTGGGAAAACCAGCAGGGCTCCAACTTGGCCCTCGTGAAGCCTTGTCCCTCCAGAAACCTGGCCGACGTCTCATGAAACGCGAGAGGTGCGTCATCGAGCCCATACACAGGAGCAATGAGCTCAATGAGAGCTCCGGCCGGAAGGTTCAAGCCCTCGCAGGGCTCCACAAAAACCCGCCCTCTGGGCCGCTTAAGCGGATCGGACTGACAAAAGGCGTTCTTAATGTCGCCTATATGGACCTCTAAACCATACATGAGAGATATGGCCAGAAACAGCATGAGAGATTCCATGGATGGCGTAGGGGCATAAACTTGGAGTTCAGCGGTGTCCTCGTCTTGGTGTCCCCTCACGCACCAGCGCGACTTCGCCTTAGGTCGGGCTCCGACGCTGCCTTGGGGTTTCCAGCGGCGGACCATCCGACTCGAGACGACCCGATTGGGAAACAGCTGCCTGAGTTGACGCCCCTCGGCCGGAGCGTGAACTTTCACGGACTTGGTGGCAACGACCCCCTCCCACTCCTGCAAGTCGGAAGAGGCGAATTCCCTCTTTTCTTCGGGCGTGAGGTCTTTGAGACGCACCTCGCACCCTCGATTAGCTAACAGTGAGAGAGAAAAACCACCCGATTCTCCGGGCAGAACTTCACAGTTGGCATTGCCGTTGTGATACTGAGCCCAGGTGCCACTCCATCCTTCCTCTTCTAAAGCTCTTTCCACGTCATTGACATACGACACGAGTTCCTCATCACTCATTTCCAGAAGCGCATCTATCTTCGCGTCATTCATCTCAAGAAAGCCTGACATAGGGACGTCTTCCATGGCGGATCCCGGGGGCCGCCCGGGGGGAGGGGACCTGGAGCGCCTCACTGGCCTGGATTCCGGCCGACCTTCCAGCTCTTGGACCTGGGTCCGAACACGCCCCGGTGGGACCCCTCTGAAGTCCTCTCCCCTGGTGACCGAAAAACGCTGACCCTGACGTTTCATGCCCAAGTCTAATATCTCGTTCCGAAGAACCGTTCCATCCATAATCGGCCTTGGCACATTGGACTCCCCACTGGGTGCACCATCACCCGGGACTTGTCCGGCACTACGGCTCTCGTCCATGCGGGAGTCTGCTGCCGGATCAGCGATGACGGACGCCTGCTGAGGCTCGGCCTCCAGCCGTCCTCCTTCTGGAGCCTGTTGGAGTGGGAGAGGCTGAGAGGAAGAGGAGTTGGAGGACTGACCCTGCACTGGGCCGCTCGAGAGCGGAGGGAGCAAGGCAGCCCCCTCCGGATCAACTTGAATATACTTGTGCGGTCGTGACTCTTCTTCTTCGTCCCCTCCCTCGGTACTGACCTCCCTAGAGCGAGATAAATCTGTGGGTGGCCTGGTCTCGCTCCCTGGATCCGAACCCGTGGCGTCGGCGACTTCTTCCTCTGGGATGGGCGACAGCCCGGGAGGGGGAACCGGCCGCTGAACGTTGCCCCCAGGAGCCCGAGACCTGGCGGGAGGAGGAAGCGGAGCCTGAATGGGTGAGGCTTCCACTTCCACACCGTGTCCTGGTTCCCAGGCCTCACGAGGTGGCGGTCCTTCGGCCGCCACGTTGACCCCCACGCCCGTGCGGCCCACTTGGGCCTCTCGAAGAAGTTTCTGGACCCCAGGGTCAGACATAACTTCAGCGCCCTGACTCTCTGGTGACGTCGCAAGCCTGACTTGCTCGGATGAGCACTTCCACAAGCGACTCCTCATGGCAACCCACACGGCCCCTCCGGACTGAAGAAGCACCAGTCCAGGTCCGACCCAACGGTCACGCTGGAGCGCGTACGTTTTCTTTCCGGAGGTCGGGGCTCGGCGCCAGACGAAAACCCACTGCCCTGGATAGACCCTAGCGTCTCTGTGGACATTGCCCTTCGAGGCTTCCGCCAGCTTCCGCCTACTTGAAGAGCGGAAAAGCTCCTGTCGAGCCAGATCCCGGATAGCGTGCTGCCTGGCATAGTCCGCGGCCGCCGTGTCCTGGTCCCATGCCGTCTGAACAAGGTCTCCCTCCCCCACCTGTCTCACGCCATCATCTGACAACATGTCATTGGGGAGTCTTGGGTTGACCCCATAAACGAGTTGAAAAGGGGTGTAGCCTCCTCTGTGGAGGTAGCGGTTCTTGGCTGCCACGACCTCGTGGAGAAGGGATTCTAACTCGGCTCGGGTGGTGATGAGACTGCTCTCGGAGGCCCTAAGCAAAATCTGTTTCACCCACCCTCCGTGGCGCTCAACACGCCCATTTTCCCAGGGACTCTCGGCGTCTATCACGTGCTGGAATACGCCGAGATGCTCAAGGCCTCTCTCGAAATGCCCCTTGAACTCGGCCCCCCCATCCGAGAGCACCATTTCAGGAGGTCCGAAAGGCCTGATCCAGGCCCTGAGAAAAGCCCTCCACGCCCCCTCCGAGGTTCCGTCGAAAACTTCCACAATCTGGAGATTCGTGCCGTGGCAAATGCAATTCAGCACTGGAATCGATTCCTCTTCAAAATTAACGTAGAAAGTATCGACAGCTATCACCCTGTTAAACTGGAAAGTACGTGGCATGGCCACTGAGCGATGCCCGGCGGGCTCAACTTGGGCTTGGCAATCGGCACACTCATACTCGTCTCGGACAAATCGGATGACCTCGGGACGGGCGCGTGCCGCACGCAGGACCTTAAGAAAGATCTCTTTGCGAGGATGTCCCAGATTCACATGAACTTTGTGAATCAACCGCTTCATGGGCGCGGTTATCTCCACTTCGTGCTCTCCAGGAACCTCCTGGAGAGGGGGCTCCTCGGCCTCACCTTCCGCGTCTTCTCCCTGCTCTGGAAGCTGCTCCGAGGACTCAGCCTGACTGGGGAAAGCCTCGACCCCAACCCGGCACACCCCAAGATCTTCTGAGCAGATTTCCGCCATCTCCTCAATGGTGAGGAGACCCTCTTGTTCCTGAATGCTTCTGAGCACTGCATCGGCGAAGGCCTTGCAGAGCTTGGGGGGGTACACCTGTGACTTCCTGGTTGCGTGTCCCCCTTCCAGGTGATGATGTTCGCGGCCGCCCCTACACTGCCGTCCTGACAGCTGGCGAAAAAGAGCGGAGTCGTTGGTCATGACACGGGTGGACTTGCGAGAAAGAGTCCCCTCGACCACGGACAGACCGAACTCACACTGGTCTATGACCACCTCCATGACCCCCGGAAGCTTCCTGATCATGTCCACAACATGCTTTCGCCAGGACGCGGCCCCATTCGGATGCTCAAAAGCAAAACGTCGACCCTCCTGGACCTGAACAAGCGCAAGCTTCATGCAGAAAGCCAAAAGGTCCAGAGCTTCTCTTTTCTTGCGCTCTTGAACCTCCAGAGGCTCAGGAGAGGTTTTCCGAAAGAGCTCTCGGATCGGACTGAACTCAGCGCACGGGGGCTCCAGGAAAATCATCCACGGCTTCTTGGTCCGAACGAGCTCCATAGCCCTGTCCTGATCGTCTTTCTTCCTAAAGTCCCACCCCGTCGCCAGATCAAGACTGCCCAGGGTGCGCAGTCCTGCCTCCTCTAGGAGGGGGGCGACTCGGGGTGGAGAGAAAACTTCAAGAAACGACCTCGACTTGAGATCCGAGGAGACCCTGCAATTAGCCACCAGAGACTGAAGCTGTCTCCTCTCGCTCTTAGTGAGAAACACTTCGTGGTCATCATTGTTCTGATCCCCGAGGACCGTGCTCGCCCACGAGGGCATAAGAAACTCGACCCCCCGAGACCCGGTCCTGGACAGAGGCCTTGCCCCCATTGACAGAAGCGAATCCAGCACTTGGCGACGCTTGATCTTCCCCGGAGAAACCGAAAAAGTGACCCCCCCGGGATGAGGCAGCTTCTTCGCCCTCAGCTCCTGAGACAAGCGCCCGCTCACGTCCAGCGGCCGTTGTGGAAGGTCTTCCACCCGGCCTCCTTCCACTCGTGGTACTCCTGGCGCCGCTTCTCGGCGGCCTTCTCCTCCGGGCCCGGCGTCCACGGGTCTCGGTTCTCCGGCTGGCGTGAGGGAGTAATCTTGCCCTTGTTGTTGCCCTTGCCGTAGGGACCGACTGCTGCCGTTGGCGGGGCTGCCAGGTCCGTGCCCGGGAGTGAAATGCTGGCCTCCGTGGTCAGCGTCCCCGTGGAGCCGATCGGCATCTCGTCCGCAGTGAAGAGGCGATCCGGATTGCGGGGAGGAGTCACTGCGTCCTTCTTCTGCTCGACCGGGGGACCGTATGTCGGATAGCCTCCTAGCGCTGGTGACCTCGTCGGCTGTGGCGCCCCCGCGTTGGCTGCCGCCTGCTGGTGCAGCATCGCCTGGGAGGCCATCGCCGCCGGCACACTCGTCCCGTCGAGCGGTGCTGTCCCAATGTAGGCCCACGCTGTTGGAGCCGCCCCTGGCGGCGCCCCCGCTGCGAGAGGTGGTGGGCTCTGACGCTGTGGCTCGATCATCTGCTGGCCCAGTGACGAAGGATGCCCCGACGGCACTGGCCGTTGTGGAACCTCCCGAGCCTGCGGTGCCTTGGCCTCCGCCTTGGGGGGAGAGTCGATTGCAGCGGCTGTGACCTTGACCTGGTCCGCCTTGCTGCTCGAGCTGCCCTGCGCCATGGCCCTGATCATTCGGCTGGCCTCCTGCGCCTGTCCCTGGGCGGTCGCGATCGCCGTCATCTGCTCTTTTACGGTGGTCGTGACCCGCTCGAGCGCCTCCTGCTGCGACGCTTGCGAGGCCATCACCCCCTGGATCATGGCCTTCATCTCCTGAAATTGACTCTCGACCATACCCTTCATGTCCCTCTCGGTCTTGGCCTGGTACTCGCGCATCTCCTCGAGTGGGTCGGAGGCGGTGTCCATAGCCTCCGTGTCGCTCTCTGGCTTGCGCTTCGTTGAGGACGCCCGGCGAGCTGCTGCTGCTGCGGACCTCTGTTCCGCCTGATCCTTCTGCAGCGCCTCGGTGACCTTCGCCGCGCCCTCCGCCACTCGCTGATACGCCGGCTGCCGAGCCGTCATGACTGAGCCGCCCGCCAGACCTCCGACCATCATGCCCGGGTGAAGAGGCAACGGAGCCCTTTCGGCCCCAGGAGGTGGCTTGGGTACGCATATCAAGGCCTGCCACTGTGGCTCGGCGGTCGCGCCCTGAGCCCAACCTTGTCCACACAGCGTGCACGCGGCGTCCTTCTTCTTGCACAGGCACAGCTTCTCCTCTTTCACGGTCCCTTTTGTCGGCCTCAGCTCCCAGTATCCGACCCTCATCGAGCACCCGCTGCATACGAACCACTTCCCCCACGAGTTGGCTCCGTAGTTCACGAGCGTCGGTGGGTGCCAACACGTCTCGTACTCCTGCGAGAGGCGGCGAAGAGACTTGGGCAGGTTGGTCGGCCAGAAGCGCTTGGCGCGGCACATACTCCCGAACTCCTCGGCCAGACGCGCCGACCAATATAGCACCCACCCGGCCAAACAGGCCCATCCCTTCTCGCCCTTGTTGAGGTTCTCCGGGACGTAGGTCCCGGTGGCCCCGTAGACCCATGCTGAGTCCGTCTGGCTCTGCATGCGGTCCGTCATCGTATGCGGCCGCCGCTCCTGAGCTCCACGACGCCCCCTCTGGCCTGCCACGCGGGTCGTCGAAGCAGCTGGCGGCATCGCGATCTGCTCTCCAATCGGCCTCTGAGTTGTCGAGGCTGTTGTCGAATTGCTGCGAGCTGAATGATTCGAGCCCAAGTGCTGCGAGGAAGGCGTACGAAGTCGAGGCTGGCCTCGTGGCCCACGTCGGCCACCTCCAACCCCGCGCTGTCGACCCTCCCCTGGCTCTGAAACGTCTCGACCTGGAACTCAAAGCCCTGGCGAGTCCCGAAGTACACGTACTGCTCAGCGCGGAGTCGGAGGTGCCGCCCGACTCCAGACCCCTTAGCGGACCTGTTCTGGAACCTGAGTTGTCCGGCCCAACTAAGGCCCCGGCGTACGTTCCGACCGCCTCTGACCTAAGATTCTCCCAGAAAAAGGTCCCGGACCCCCTTGGACGCTGTTCCGCCCCCCTCAGACTCCCCCAGCAGCTTCCGTGGTACAGCCCCCCCAGGCCAGTGCTGACAGAAGACGCGATGATGTACTTCCCCTTGGCTTGAAACGCATCCTTCGGCAGCTGAGGGTGCGACCTAAACACGGAGGCCGGAGCTTTAAAGTCTTTGGCGGGAACTGAAAACTTGTCTACCTGTATGGTGCGGTGGGCCGACGGGAGCCTAGTCAGAGGCGTCGTGACCCCCAACTTCGTAAAAGTCATAGCTTTGTTCGGAAGATCTACAATTCCACCTAGCATCTCTTGAAATCCTATCGGCAAAAGGGGTGGAACGTCCTGGTCCAGGACATCCAGCTCCAGCACCCCCATGCTACCCTCGATGCCTACAGGAATCAGAGCGGTGTGGGTGACCTTTACCCCCCCACCTACTCCGCGCGCGCTTGGGTTCCTGGGTGGGACCCTTGGGACGGCGAACCCCTTTGAGGCCCAGTGCCCCTCGATCTTCTGCAAAGCTTGTTCTCCTACAAGGCCCTGGCCGGCCGCGGTGTCGACCACCATGGCCCCAGGACCTACGGCGAGCAGGACAACTGCGTAGGTTGGAGGAGGAGGCTCGTCGAAGCACTGGGAGGTGGAGTGATCTAAAGCATTCACATACAGGAAAGTCAGACCCGTGGCAGGAGACCCCTTTTCGTCCTTGGCTCCTGCGCCCTGCTTCTGTGGGCACTCTCGAGACCAGTGTCCCATCTGATGACAGACGCGGCATCTTGTGCGCTTAATTAATTCAGCAAGCGGAAGGCGACTCTTCCGCGCTCTGAAAGTGCCGTCTGCTGCCCTGTGGCCGGGCCTGCGAGCCTTCTCGCGCCCATCACTGCCACGGCCCTGGCCAGACCTATCGTAGAACTTCCGGTCGGTCTTCAGCTGTCTCTTCAAGTCGCGGTTCTGCTTCCACGTCTTGCGGCGCTCCTGGTTAATGGCGGCCAGCGCTGCAGGCGCGTCGTCCTCCCCGACGTCGGCCGACTCCAGGATCGCCCAGACCTCTGCTTCCCCGTCTGAGTCCATGGAGGAGACATCCGAGTAGTCAAGCAGGGACTCGTCGTCGCGCTCGACTTGATAGGTAGGCACCTGAGGTGGGGGTGCTTCCGAGCCCATAGTGGCGTAGGTCCTGCGTGCCTTGAGATGCTCTCGATGGGAGATGTCCATCTCCCGAATGGCCGAGAGAGCCGACTTGTAGTCCTTCTGGTCCCTCATGAGCACCTTGACCATCTGCGCCGAGCGCTCATCGAGAGAAACTCCTTCCTCCAGGAACATCAGTTTCCACTCGTCTGGAAGCGGCAGCCCCTGGGTAGCTACCCTGTCGAAGGCCGTGTCCATACGTGCACAGTATTCGGTGAGATTCTCTCCCTGCTTGCGTGAATAATCCAGTAAGCACTCTCGAGCGACCTTCCGTCGCTCGTCGCCGTGTCTTTCACCAGACATCAGGTCAAGGCGTTTGACAATGGCGTCGAAACCCCATGAGCTGCACAGCGCGTCGTCATCGAGGTCCTCGAGCTTCCGTTGAAGGTCTTGATCAAGAGAGCGGAAGAGGCGATCAGCCTGCTTGTGGGAGGGAACGTCCGTCAGTGTTCTCCAGCGCAGCACCGTGCGGCGCCACATGCGGTAGTCCCCCCAGCCTCTCCATTTCTCGGGGTCGGCGAAGTCCTTGCCAATGTTGATGCTGGGGCGGTCGTCATCATGTCCGGAGTGGCGCTTATTGGGCTCCCACTTGCTGTCCTTGTAGTTGTCGTTCCATCTCCATCCGGATGACCAGTCGCCCCACTGCTCACCTTTCCAACGCTCGTCCCCGTAGCTTTCCCAGGTCGAAGCCGGAGTCCAGGTGGATCGCGAAGAAGTCCACTGCTGCTCGCCGGGCTTGCAGTCCGGCTCCTGCCAGGTGCTTCTCGTCGCGTCCCAGCCACCTGAACGCCACTGCTCCGACCTGCCCTGGGACGTCTCGATGGCGGACGCGGCAGCGCCGCCACCGGACCATGTCCCGGCACTCGTCGACTCGTGCTCTGGCGGTGGTGCATGCCAGCCTGACCACGAGCGATCCTCGGCGCTCGACCACGGAGCACTGGAACTCTGCCCGTGATCGCGCCGACGTCCACTGTCGTCGCCGCCCCCATGTGAGTCACGCTGGCGACTCTGGGAACTGGCCGGCACCACGTCCAATAGTAAAAGACGTGCCAACTTCTCTGCCTCATCTTGGTCGAGGTGGAGACCGTCATGCCTCATCAGTGTATCAGTCACTGCCCGTACTGCAGAATGCTCCCCTCGTTCTTCTTGCTGTGTCTCTCGATTAGCACCTTGCTCCGCTGCTGCCGTCATTGGTCCGCGGACTCAGAGCTGCTCACAGCTCCGCTACCACTGTCGCCCGGCGGACGACAGCAGTGAAGCCAAAGTGTCGTATCTTTTCTCCAGCAAGAGAAACCTCGCACTCTCTCTTCTCAGTACACAGCTCCCAACGCTGTACAAACAAGGCGCGGAACGGTATAGGAAAGGAGGAGGGGTAGGGTGGATATGGTATGAGTGATGAGGAATGAGTGGAAGTTGGGTCTTGAGCCAAAATGGTTACGACCCATGCTCGTGACCTTCAAGCTCAGGGAGTCTAGCAGGGGCATCGGCCTTGAAAACCACCGGCCTCTAGACTCAAATCACACAGCAGGACATACCCGGGGGCGACGAGCACGACGACGACGATGACGACGAGGAGGACGACGAAGACAAAGATGACCACGACAACGATGACACCGACGACGACGACGACGACGACGAAAATGGCGGCAACGACGACGACTGTGGAGGGCGACGCCGTTGACGACCACCCTAGCGGGCGGGTTGGGCGGGCGAATCATACTGGGCGGGCGGGCGTATCCGAACGTACCCGCGGGCCAGAAACGACATTCTGACACCTCGCGCTCCCCTCCCAACTTCAGCTTCAGATCCAGGAGGGGCAGGGGAGACCGCGTCAACAACCGCCAATTAAAACAGGCCCAGAGGACCACCCAGAGGCAGCCAAAGGACGCACGAGGCCCCAGAGGAAGAGACCTTCCATTCCCTCCTCCTCTTCCTCACATTCCTACTCCTCCTCCGTCTTCTTTACCTCCTCCTTGGAAACATCCAGTTGCTGGGGGCGGGGAGTTGCGGCATAGGTTCCCGCCCGAAGAGCTGCCTGCGCATGTGCACTCGTGCGCGAGGCATTGTGCTGGAAGATGTCGCGATGGACGCGATCTCCCACCTTGAGGGGACTGAGCAGACGGAGGAGACGGATAAAATGGAGAGGAAGACGTACGAGAGGAGCAGGATGAGAAGGAGGTGATCACCTGCATAGCCATGGAAGTCGCGGTGGGGACGCCCTGCAAGAGAATCGCCACAACGCATGCGGCCCGTGCCCGGGGGTCGAAGGGGCAAGGAAGAAATGCCTTGACAGTCGCCGGCATCCCAGCAAACTGAACGAAAGAAGGGACGCAGGAATCGAAAGTGAAAGGGAGTGTGCGTTTGGCGGGCCTGCCAGCACGCCAGTGCCTGAGCCAGAGCAGATGCGGCGAGGAAGATGATAAAAAGGAGGAGAAGCAGGGAAAGCAGGAGAAGAAACATGGCGAAGACAATAAATAGGAAGAGCACTAGGGTGGGACGAGGAGAGAGGAGGGAGCTGGAGGGATCAGGGGGGATGAGGGCGAGGCCAAGGATGAGGAGAAGAAACAGCAAGGGAAAACTGGAGGACGTGTTCCGGCGGACGTATTCCAAGACGCGCGGCGGGCGGAGCACGAGGACGAAAAGGTTCGCAATCCTGAGCCTAAAACAACCCAATTTGAAGCAGGTTCGCAGTTCGAAGCCAACACCGATCTGAGGCCCCCTCAAACACCTTCTCTTCCTCCTCCTCCTCATCATCATCATCATCATCAGCAGCAGCATCAGCATCATCATCAACGACAACAACAACAACAATAACAACAACATCAGCATCAGCATCATCATCATCATCATCATCATCACCACCACCACCATCATCATCAGCATCAGCATCATCATCATCATCATCATCATCATCACCATCAACATCATCATCATCATCATCATCATCATCATCATCATCATCATCATCATCATCATCATCATCATCATCATCAGCATCAGCATCATCATCATCATCATCATCATCATCATCATCATCATCAGCATCATCATCATCATCATCATCATCATCATCATCATCATCATCATCATCATCATCATCATCATCATCATCCCTCTCCTCCTCCTCCTCCTTCTCCTTCTCCTCCATTGATTTTTCTTATGAATAACTTCTCCCTGTCGCACCCCGAGGCCAGTTTTCAGGGCGGGCCAGGCAGTTTGCCTGAGATTCCCTCACACTTGATGACCCTGAAGTATTAAAATCGGCCACGGTTTCACAGATGGAGGGCGCATCGTTTTCATAATGTGGCCCTCGCCTTAGCGCCGCGCACATTCGTTTTTAAACGTTGCAAGAGTTTCAAAGATTGAGGGCGAATCGTTTTCGAAATGTGGCTCTCGCCTCAGAGCCGCGCACACTCGTTTTTAGCATTCGCAAGAACTTCCCCGATTGAGGTCGGTTCCTTTTTTTTAATGTGGCTCTCGCCTTTGCGCTGCGCACATTCGTTGTTCAACGTTGCAAAAAGTTCACGGATTGTGGGCGAATCATTTTCAAAATTTGGTTATCGCCTTAGCGCCGCGCCCATTCGTTTTTGCTTTTATTGGCAAGGGCTTCATGGATTCCCGTGATCATCGTACCGAACAAATGCTTTGGAAGGGTTCAGGATTATGAGGGCGCAACAGTTACGTTGATTCGCGGTGTTGAAGTTCCAGGAATGACGTTCCAGCGCGACTCAGGATCGCCAAGACGCAACAGTTAGGTTGATCCGTGGCGTTGGAATCACGAGAACGATATTTTGGCATGTTTCAGGGTCTTCACACGGTTGCCTTCCAAAGAGGCAGTTTCCTCAGTGATAATGATCCCGTGCAGGGGCATATGAAGGAGTTTGGAGCCTGGAAGGAGGGTTCACTGCAGCATCGTTGATGAGTCTGGGACCTCTCGGGGCGGCGCTGTGGGCCATCGGGGTCCCTTTTGGGCTCGCCCGGCCCTTCCTGGACGTCCTCGGACCGAGGAGGAGGAGGAGGAGGAGGAGGAGGCCCCCTCTCCAGGCCCCCTTGTGAGCTTTCGTGGAGCCTGCTCGGGGCCCTCCTGCCCACCCTCGCGCGGCGCTCCCCGCTCCCAGTGTCGGGGGATTGGGGGTGAAGTGGCGGCAGTGAGCGCGTTCCCCCCACCCCCTCGTCCCCTCCCCCTCGTCTCCTCCCCCTCCCCTCGTCCCCCCCTCCCCACCTCGTCCCCTCGTCCCCTCCCCCCCTCGTCCCCTCGTCCCCTCCTCGTCCCCTCCCCCCTCGTCCCCTCCCCCTCGTCCCCTCCCCCTCCCCGCCTCTTCTGTCTTTTCCGTCCACTTATTTTCTCGACTTCCCTGAGTGCTCTTGGAGTTATCTGCGAGGTTCTCTTGGGGCGCTGTTGCGGGCCATTCGGGCCCCCATTGAATTCGCCGGGCCGTTGCTGGGCGTTCTCTGGGCCCCTTTGGGGCCCTCTTGGGGCCCGTCTTGAGCTTTCATGGGGCCTGCTCGGGGCCCTCCTCCCCCTCCCCCCCTCCCCCCTTCACCTCTTCTGTTTTTTCCTTCACTTCTTTTTCCCAACCCTCCTGAGTTGGGTTTTCGTTTTGAATACGGCAGCTGCGATCGCGACTCCTCTTCTCCCCTCTCCCGCCCCAGGAGCAGGAGGAGGAGAAGGACCAGGAGCAGGAGCAGGAACGGGAGCAGGAGGAGGAGCAGAAGCAGGAGCAGGAGCAGGAGCAAGAGCAGGAGCAGGAGCAGGAGCAGGAGCAGGAAGCAGGAGCAGGAGCATGAGGAGGAGAAGGGGGAGGAGGAGGAGGAGGAGGAGAAGGAAGAGAAGGAGGAGGAGGAGGAGGAAATAGAGAAGAAGGAAAAAAAAAAAAGAGGTGGTGGTGGTGGATGAGGACGGGGAGGAGGACTAGGGTAAACATGACAATGGGAATGATGGAGAAGGAGGAGGAGGAGGAGGACGACGAGGAGGAGGAGGAGGAGGAGAAGGAGGAGGAGGAGCAGGAGGAGGAGAAGAAAGAGGAGGGGGAGGCGGAGGAGGGGGAGAAGGAGGAGGCGGAGGATTATGATGAGGAGGAGAAGGAGGAGGAGAAGGAGGAGGAGGGCAAGGACGAGGAGAAGAAATAGGAGGGTGCGGTTTCATGGCATGTGCTTCGCAGCTCCTTGCTCGTCCACAGATCGAGTGCATCTCGAACTGAAATTCGGCGTTCGTGATCACTCCCATTCGAGCAGTCTGCTTCCCAGCTCTGTAGCTTGCGTACAGTTCGGACCAATTGGAAAACAAAAAAAAACACCTATCTTGATTCGAAGAGCGCACATATGTTTAGTCGCAGTTCTGGTAGCAAACCGATCGCAGCCGTCGAAATGAATTCAACCAGCGTTTCTCCGCATTTCCTGTCGATTGGTGTATAGTTGAGCTCCATATCTAGTCCACAGCTCGAATTGAGTACAGAAAACAAACACCATCTCTCACAACAACTTGCAGAGTGCAAGTAGTTCTTCAGTTGTAGCTATGGTGGCAAACCAATCCCAGACGTCTCGATGTAGTAGACGACTGTGTTTGATGATTTCCTGTTGAGCGGTGTGCTTCCCAGCTTCCTAGCTTGCCTAGAACTCGAATGAACTACAGAAACCCAACACTGTCTCTCATGAAAATAAAAATATGCAGATAACTATTTCGTCACAGCTCGGGTAACAAACCGATATCTGGCGTCTATATAGTTTAGACTTGGTGCTTATCAGCATTCCCTGTCGACTAATCGTGCATCTCAGCTCTGTGGCTGGCCTAGAACTCGAGTTCAACTGAGAAAACGCACATCATCTCTCGCACTCCGACGAATAGTTTTTGAGTCGCAGCTATGGTTGCAGGCCGAATTGAGACGTCTCGACACCTTAGCCGAATGTACCTCATGACCTTCTTTTTTCGAAAAGTGTTTTGCAGCCCCATAGCCAGCCTGCAGCTCGAAAAAAAACGAACATCATCCCTGAAAAATTAGCCGAATACGAATAGGTTGTCCCAGGCATCTAGATACTTTAGATAACCGCTCCGGATGAGTTCTTTTCGATCGCGGTGCCGAACAGCTCTGCAGCTCATCTGCAGCTCGAGATAAGTTAAGAAAACCGACAGCACCTGCCAAGATGACAGTGAACAGCCGACCCCGCCTGAGTACTTTTTGATAGTAGTAGCCACCCGATCGACCTTGAGATCAGGATGGCGAACGGGAATAAGATCGAAGATGGGAGGGAAAAATATTAGAACTCTAACGAATTGTCAAACTTCGAGAATCTGATTTTTAACCGGCCGAAATTATGCAAAACTGAAAGCCGATTGTAAACCGTCAACCTTGGATACCGCTGGGACCTCGTAGAGCTTCCTCGCTATACACGAATGGCACGCGAACGCGGCAATCTCGCATTCCGCGCGCGCGCGAGGGTGCGGTTTCATGGAAATGTGCTTCACAGCTCTTTGCTTGTCCACAGCTCGAGTTCGTCTCGACACTGCAGACTAGCGCTCGTCATTCCCATTCGAATAATCTGCTTCCCAGTTCTGTAGCTTACGTACAGCTCAAACTAAATAGAGAAATCCAACACCGCCTATCTAAGATTTGAAGGGCGCAAGTAGTTGTTTCGTCGCAGTTCTGGTAGCAGACCGATCTCAGCCGTCTAGAATGCTTTCACCCAGCGCTTCTCAGCATGTCCTGTCGATTGGTGTATATATGAGTTCCGTGTCTAGCCTACAGCTCGAATTGAATACAAAAACAAACATCACCTCTCACAAAAAGATTGCAGAGTGTAGGTAGTTCTTCAGTTGTAGCTATGATAGCAAACCAATCTCAGACGTCGCGATACTATAGGCGACTGTTTGATGACTTTTTTAAAGCGCTGTGCTTCCCAGCTCCCTTGTTTGCCTATAATTCAAATTAAATACAAAAACCCAGCACCGCCTCTCATAAAAATGAAAGAGTGGAAATAATTAGTTGGTCGCAGCTCTGGTAGCAGACCGATCTCGGGCGTCTAGATACTTTAGACAGGTGCTGTCGATCAATGTGCATCTTAGCTTCGTAGCTGGCCTACAGCTCGGCTTGAGTTGAGGAACCG